TTTTTTTTTTTTTTTTTTTTTTGGTATATTTATTTACTTTCTGATAGCTTTCAAAGAATTTTACCAAGATTTATGGAGACCAATTTGTTTGAACTGGGTTTTTTGAAGTCAGACATCATACCTAATTTTCTTATGAACTTTTCCACTATTATATCAAGGAATTCTTTTATAGAATAATGCCAATGTCAATATTTCTAAGAACCAGTGCTCTCTGACACTAGGATTCTAATTTTTCCTAAATTTTGACATAGAAATGTAATCTTTTTCTTCCACATTTAAGAAAAATATCTCAGGCTGTCAGAAGGATTAGGGGAAAAGGTCCATGGAGACAATTAAAATTACAAATGCTGTTTTATTCATTTTACTGACAGGAGAAACCAGACACATTAAAATAAATATATTCTCTTCTGTTCCTATAACAAAGTGGTTAGGAAGGCAGCCCATGGACTCGCATGGCTAAAACCCCAACTCCATCACTGACCAACAGCACTGTCTTGAAAAAGCTACTTATCTGCCCTCCGCCAGTTTGCTCTTCTGTAAAAAGGGAATCACACTAGCAGTTACCTTATTGCTTTTGTGAAGAATAAATGAGACAGTGAAGTGAGTGCTTACTAAGTAGCAGCAGTTATTATTTTATTGATCCCAATAAATGGAACCACTGGCCTCGCTCCCAAGGGTGGGAGTGGATGTGTTTCCCTAGATGCAGGCCACTGAGCGTCGTACACTGAACTTTTGGCCTTAGTAACGAAGAGAGAGAGAAAAAACAACGTTGCAGAAAAGGCAATAATTTTAAACTGTGTCCTTTAAGCTTATTCCTCGGAGCCGTTTTTCCTGGTTTATGTCAGAATTCTATGTAACACCGTTAGAGGGAAAAGGGGAAACGAGCAAAATGAAATGACAATGGCTCACCTGACGCTGGTCATTACCACCCCTGCTCGCCCCTTTATTGTTCACATGTGATGGATATTCAGTTACTTCAAAGTCCCTAACTGCAGATTGATCTGGATTATAAAATAATGGCCTGGAAGTTCTGCTTCCTTTCCACTGAAGAGCTGGCTGGGGAGCGACCTGCTGCCTGAGACAGCCTGGTGCTCTTCAACTTCAGACCAAGTTGATAAGTCTCAGGCACACACATCCTCTCAGCAGTTTCCAATTTTAGTCTCATCAGCACTCTTCACTGGGCTTAATTAAAGGGCCAATTTCAACATACAGTCTTGAATTATTGTTGAGCAAATAAACAAAAAGATAATATGACCTATTTAAATGGAGTTTTAACATTTTAGGCAGCGGTTGGTTATTTGGAAAAAATACTAAATGTTTTGTATAAAAGCTCCTAACAAGTTTAATTTATCTTCCCCTTATTCTGCTTTCTTTAGGGACAAGATAAAGACAGTCAGTTTCCTGTTACCCATGGACATAGCTTCATATTCCAAAAATCGAAGTTCTTTGGAAAACTCACCAAATCATATCACAAATCAGCTAAATACCATTGCAGAATAGGATGTGTGAGGTGGTAAACTTAAATTTAAAAAAAAAACAAACAGTTGATACCCAAGAGATGGGAACACTAGTGTCTCGCTGGGTCAGTGTCTTCTGCAAAGAGCTCTGGCCAGATGCCCAATAAGACACACAGAATACTGGCTGTGAGGTCAGTGGACTTGGCCCAGAAAGGGAAGCGACTGCTTTGTGTCGTTGAATACTGATGTTGACGTGTGTAGCCGCTACTGTAGTCCCTCTGGGCAGCAGGTGAGCGATTTGATGTGAATAAATTAAATGGTGTGCTAAGTGTTCAGAAGCTGTGTTATGCTATCAGAAAATGCTGCTGTTCACCTAAGTGTCACTTTCCAGATCAGACTAATCTAGAAAAAAAAGTTCTATTTTTCATTAAGCGCATAGAAGCAATAATGATGGTCCTTATAGTTAATTGGGCATTAATATTTCACTGGCACTATCTCATTTGTTCTTTTTCTATCCTGTGTCACTGGCATGTGAGCACAAACACAGGCAACTCCAACAGCATACACTGTGGTCTCAACATAACTGTGGGCTGGCTGATGACAAAGGCGTAAACCAGGTTAGAAGGAGAGAAAAAAGTTCAGGATCGTTCCTTAGGGGTTGGACATCTCAGAGCCCCCTCAAGAACTTCTAGTCAACAGAACTTCTCTACTTACTGGTTTGTAGCAACCACATTCTAATACCAATACTCTTTTTAAACAAGTATCTAAAATTTCTAGAGTGTTAAAATGTAGATTCCTGGGCACTGGCCCAGGCTGACTGAATTGGTTGGAGAGGTAGAGAGGCAATAAAAGACAAGACCAGAAATTCACATTTTAAACAAGACTTGCCAGATGATTTCTGCTATACAGGAATGCTTGCGATCCATTATTGTAGATACTAAGAAACATAGTCCAGGGCTCCCCAAATCTGGTGCCAAGGTGAAGCGGAAGCAGTCGAAACAAGGGAAGGGTAAGAATAGTCTGATCCATTTCTAAGAAAGGATTTTAATAGTCACAGACAGACTCCTACAGGAAAGATGGATAACTCGACAAATATCCTGAAGTAAAAACTACATCATGGGTCCAATGCTTCATTTATTTATGATATTCATTTAAAGTTAACAATACCCTCGACATTATAACAGGTGTACAATAGAGCAAGGTTACAACCATAGGGGAAAGATACCAATGAGATGTAAAAAACATTTATCTAGGGATAAAGACACACACCAGGCAGATAATTAAACCATGCGATGGCAGGCATTTTTACTTTATGCACAATTATATTATCAGTATATTTACAAAATGGAGAATTTTGTGTTAATATCAGTTTAAGGACACATTTCCCAAGCAGTAAAAAAAGTAATAAGTGACAACCACCCAATTACAATGTCATAACTGGCGAAGTTATAATAACGAATCACCGCCCACGCCAAGCTCAGTGACTAGTGTGTGACTGGCCCTTCATACGTGTTCTGTGAACTGAACTGAACTAACAGTTCCCTGAGTCTAACAGTCCTATAAGAGTTCCATCCTGGCCCCGGAACTTGCCACACTAAGCCCGTCATGAAATTTGAAATGTTTGTAATTGGAGGCATCCTCAGTTAAGCGAAGGTGATCTCTGCATTCTCTGAGTCCAGGGCACCTAAGGATCAAATGAGACCATGTACAAAGATATGTTCCATAAAGCACTAAACAAATACAAGACACTATTAATTTTTTTTCCATTCAAAACACAGACTCCCAGCATATGCCTAATTTTAAATCAAGGTGTTAAATTAATAAAAATGTATTGTAAAATTGTTAGCTTTTATTTTTTTCTAGCTTTTTATTTTCTCTTAGTTAAATTGATGAGTGATCGGCTAATAGATGGACAGTAAGTTACTTCCCTAACATTCACAGTCATGTGCTCTACCTATAAAGAAAAAAACCAAGGAGTAGGAAGAGGAAACCACCCCATAGTGAATTATTAATGGTCATCAATACTACCAATAATGGCACAAATTAATAACTCTGTGGGTGATGAAAGCCAAAGGTTAACAACTACATCAATGATCAACATACACCAGTCTCTGGCAGAGCTATTTGCTTTTATAAATATGCTCTTCTGCAAATTTGCTTTAACAAACAAGCATATGGAAACAAAGGAAGATTTAAATGATGCATTTAGAATGGCAAGCCCTGGCAATTTTTCTAGCATCCCCATTCTGCCTGCTCCCATTGCCTTGAGTTCCTCCTACTCCCTAAGCTGTGAATCTAGAACAAACTTAACCAGAGGGATAGCTGTGTATGTGGACAATGTGAAGCATTATGGCTTTCATCTGATCGCTTGGTCCGGATTCTAGTTTATCCTGTAGAAAACACATTTTAGGACCCTCTGTGAGTCCTGGCAGGCACAATAATTGAGTTTGATAGTTTGTGCCACCAAAATACAATAGTACCTGCTGAGTATGGAAAACACCATCTACAGAACTTGAAAGAATATTATGAAACAATGTGGGAGAGAAGTGTGTGGTTATTACCATCAACAAATAATGTTCAGCTGCATTCCTTCCTTAAGAGACTAAGTTCCACCACCTGCTGCAATTCTTAATTTTTAAATATCCATGCAGGGAAACATTCACTCATTCAAGCTGTGTTCAAAAGAAGCATGTAATCAGAGAATGCTCTTTCTTATCAAGAAAGAATAAATCACCTGGTATACCTTTAATTCTTTTTTATTTCTGCCTTTATCTCCAGTGCCACAAAACAGCCAAAATATTTCATGACTCCAATAATTTGCTCACAGTTAGTTTTCTAAAAGGTGAGAAAAGAAAGGCTGAATTTATCCAATCTCGGGCATACATATGTAATAGTTTGACATTATTAAAAGTTCCTTGAAGAGTTGAACTTGAAACACAACTCACCCGGAACTCAGAGAGAGATTAAACTTGTTCCTGTCCAGGTTTTACTAAAAAAGATAATACTCTGTGGCTCTCAGGTTTCCACTGAACAAATCTCTCTCATTTTTTCCATTTTTTCACTAGAATTTCTCCTCCTGCAGTCACCTCAAAATTCTCACACAGGCAAAACTAACCTATAAAGACAGAAGCCAGGATAGCGCCTCCTCCTAATGGGTGATGTTGACCAGAAAGGACGTGAGGGAACTTGCTAGGGTGCTGGAATGTTCTGTGTCTTGTTCTGGGTGGTGGTTACACAGATTTATACACATGTAAAAATTTATTTTGCTGCTGTGTTGGTTTCCAATTGCTGCCACAACAAATTGTCACAAACTTGGTGGCTTACAACGGCACAGACTTATTCTCTGACAATTCTGTGGGCTAGTATCCTGCCAAGCTCTCCCTGGGCTAAAACCAAACTACCACCAGGGTTCTGTTCCTTTCCAAATGCTTTAGGGGAGAATATGTTTTCTTGCTTATTGCTGCTCCCAGATGCCACCCACAGGCCTCGGTCCACGGTCCCCTCCCTCCATCTGCAAAGCCAGTGATGGGGGCTGGCGGAGTCTTTTTGGTCTCTCATCACTCTGATTCCGTTTCTGCCTCCCTCTTCTGCGTTCAAGAACTCTTCTGATTTCAATGCGCCCACACGCATAATCCAGAATAATTTCTCCCTCCCAAGGACCTTAATTTAAGCCCCTCTGCAAAGTCCCTCTAGTCACGCATGGTAACATAGTCACAATTGTCAGGGTTGAGAATGTGGGAGTCTTTATTCCGTCTGCCACACACCTAAGGTTTGTGCATTTACTTGTGTATAAATTATACCTCAAATTATAACAGAAATCTTGATAAAAGCCTGAGACTGTTAGGTTTACGAAACAGTTCATCAAAAATTAGGACAGAAGCCAACAGGATTCAAGCTCTTAAAAGTGAACTCATAGCTGGCTAGTCAGTTAACATAAATAGTCCAGTTTAGGAGTAAATCAAATACGCAAGTCTATGTTTTGATTTAGCTGAAAAACATACGCAAAACCTACATAAAGCATAATTCAGCATATGAAAATGTCACGCAGCCTAACAACAAATGTGTCTGTGTTTATCTCATGCCCTTTGCACTCTCACCCAAGAGACTGTTAACTGTTATTTGTTGATATGAATCATTTCATTTGCAACTGACTGACTTTTAACTAGATAAACAAGCCCAGAGACAGATCATTAGCCCCATCTTGAACGTTTTTATTTTGAGTTTCCTACTTAAATTTACCATTGATTGAAAAGGCTGTGAAACAAATGTTTTTTGAATACACAAATATTGCGTGACAGTAAAACAACAAAATAGATGTAAGAGAATGGGATCAGCCTTGCTTGTGAAAGGCATCTTAGCTGTTTCTTTGTTCACATTAGAATACATTCACAACAGATACTTACAATTTAAATAAACAGTGTCTGCCTGATAAGGAAATAAATACTCCACCGTATGGTCTCAGTCACATTTGCACCGTTTTGCCAATATGTTTTGCATTTGCTTTAGGAAAAAGAGCTTAGTGGATTAAGCTGAGGAAATACCATGGAATGAAAAGCCAGGGCTCTGGCCCTGTGCCAGCCTGAGCCCGCTCACCTGTGCACCTGCTCCCTGAGCGATCTGGGCCACCTTGGTTCTAGCATGCCCGAGGCTGGACACTGTGCCAAGTATCTTTCACCAGAAGCGGTATCGCTTCCCCACTGATAATAAACAACACTGCACCTGAACATTGGAGGACTCCTGATAGGGAGATATCCATATATACTGTTTGCCAGTTGACAAGTGCCTTTTGGTCTCAGAAGTTCCAGAAGGAAGGGACTTCTATGGGCATGGAATTTAGCCCCTGAAGGTAAAAATCCAGACACCAATATTGGTAAGCAATCGCTCAGATCCAATAAGTCTCACTGCCACTAAGCAATAAAGACAGCATTGAACCCAGGGGGTCTGGCTCCAGTGGGATAAATCATTATTCGTGTCATTCATTGCACTATTCTGGGGCTACCCAAGCCTCAGGAATCATGGTCATGAGCATATCTGCCTTAAAAT